GGTCTCGATGCGATAAAGAACCTCTACAGAGAGGAGACGGTGATGGCAGATATTATCTGCAAGATGCAGGACGTCGACCCTGCCCCAGAGTGAGTCTACCGTAGACGATAGCGCACAGCTATACACCCTTGTCAACGATATGACGGAAGAAGAAGACGGCGATGTCATCCTCGAGACTATGACCGCGGTGGATGCTCTTCTTGATCTGGACGATATGTCCTTCGAAAATTTGGCGGTGTCTTGACGGCAGGCAATCTAGCCGGGGTGGTCATTATAAGACCGAACGGGGAGATTATCTCGTCGTCGTCCTGGATGAAGCTGTCCTGGAGGACACTAAGAGGGGGCTGAACGCACGAGATGGATCGTCAATTCTGAAGGATCCCTGGGGTCCATACTATCCTTCGGTAAAGGAAATCCAAGACGTCGTCTCCAAAGACCCACAGTCGGTCCTAACCCTGGACCGCGGTGTGCGTCATGAGATTGACCTGGCTCCCGGAACCAAATACTACATAACACGCCACTGACCTCTGCCCATGGAGCAGTGTGATGTCATTGACGCGTTTTAATGTGCGAAGCACGAGGCAGGAATGGTGCGTGAGAGCAAGTCTCCCCATTCGGTACCTACATTTTGTGTCCGGAGGTCGAACGGCAAGTGGCACCACTCCTAAGAAATATGTTTTTCAAAACAGCATGGTTGGTTATAGAAAGTACAGCGCACGCGACTTGGTCGATTGTTATTACCAATTGCTCCTGAAAGCGATCGATATTCCGCTGACAGCGGTGAGACTTCCGAGCCATATGCTCTAGGAGTGGCTGGTAATGCCCAAAGGCTGTCAAATACACCAGTAACCTTTAATCGTCTGGTGACGCAATTGTTCAGGACACACCGAACGTATGCACAAACATACTTCCACAACATCTTCGCACGAATAAGCTTACTTCTACAAGCATAGCACAAATTATGCGAGAATGGCACGGCCATTGTCGAACCTTCTTACGAAGGATACGGAATGGAGTTGGGACATCGAGCATCGGGTGGGGTCACAGACAACCTCCTTCATGCATCAGTACTGGCGTTGTCAGACCTCGATCGTCTTTTTAGTGTCGTCTGTGACGCTTCGGACTTTGCCCTCGGCTGTGCACTGCTGCAAGCAGATGCCGAGGGGCGGGTTCGTGTGATCGCATTCAAATCTCACCTGTGGAGAGAAACTACCCAGTCCACGACAAGGAATTACTTGCGATGAAGTATGCACTTGTCAAGTTCAGGGTCACCGGCTTGACTCAAAGCCGTTTGTGATCTACACAGATCATGCGTCATAACGCACTGCGACTAAGTCGCCTCACCTCTGGCAGAGAATGACCAGGTGGCTCTCATTCCTTACAGAATATAACTTCGAGGTGAAGTATAAGCCAGGAAAGCAGAATGCTTTGGCTGATGCTTTGTCACGCAGACCGGACTATGAGCTCGCTCATGTCACGACGGTGACGCCGTCAGTGGATTTGATCTGCGCCACATACGCGGGTGATGGTATGTTCGCAGCGCTTCTACAGGCTCTCGGGAGCAAGGAGTTTGGAAACTCGGACAAGAAACTGTCGGCGCGTTTGCACACACAGTTACACCGGTATTTGTTTAATAACGGGTTGCTGTGTTATAGCACCGATTTGACGGATACACCACGAATTGTGGTTCCTCACGATGAGAATTTGAAATACCATATCCTCTATGAGGCCCACGACATGGTCATCTCGGTCGTGAGAAGACGTACGGCTCGGTGAGTTGCCGCTATTGGTGGCTAAAGCTGTACAAGTGGACGAGCACCAATGTGCGCGTGTGAGACGTGTCAGAGGATGAAACCCTCTCCAAATGCGGCGGTGCCGCTAGTCAATTTACCGGTACTCTCTGGGTGTTGGCAGTCCATGGGTACGGATTTTGTGTTCGGCCTGCCGAAGGATCCGACAAGCAACACGGGTGTAGTGAACTTTGTGGATCGTTTGAGCAAGATGGCTCATCTTGCGACAGTGCCAGACACCATCGACGGTGTGGGTACAGGTATGCTGTTTGTCGATCGTGTCTTTTGACAACATGGACTCCCGGAGTCAATTGCCTCTGATAGAGACTCGCGCTTTTCTGGAAAGTTTTGGGCTACAATTTTCAGGGTGCTGGACACCAAGATGACTATGTCAACAGCAGACCCGTCGCAGATTGATAGATAAACTGAGCGCGTGAATCGCGACGTTGAAGACGTTCTTCGCAACGTCTGCGCTGAGACGCTGGAGCGCTGGAGCGCCATACTGCCACTTGTGCAGCTCGCATTGAACAATGCAGTGCATTCATTTACCGGCTATTCGCCGTTCTACGTGAACGGCCTTGTAAATTCTCGCGTCCCACTGGCGACGCCATTTCATGGCTCAGGACTTAGTGGAGAAGGTATAGCCGAATGGCTAGCTGATTCCAGCCTTCTCACCGTGCGTAAAGAAGTCGGAGACTTCCTGTCTGTGTCTTACGACACATTGGCGATGTGATGGCTGAAAGCCAAGACATGCAGAAAGAATAAGCAGACGGAAGGGAAAAAATAAATTTTGAATACATTGAGATCGGAGACCTGGTTTAATTAATTGCTAAAAATCTTCCTACACATGCAGTTTCCGCTGTCTTTACAACGAAACCCCGTCTACGGTTCATTGGACCTTTTAAGGTTGTGGCCAAGAGAGGCCTAGCGTATACGCTGAACCTTTCAAGAAGGATGCGCACCCACCGGCTTGCTTAAGCCGAACCGAAATCGGCCAGCCACCCCCAAGCCGAACCAGCAACTGGTTCTGAGCACGGAGCGCAACAAATTCCGTTTCCAACGGTGCAAGGCACTCCACCGTCGCACAAAGGGACGTATTCTTCTTTTTGACTGCTAGGAGCCGCTCTGACAGAACGCGAAAATTCTTAACGTGAGGCAGTCAGTTCATAAAGGGCTCCAGTCTCTCTAGGGTTTTCGCACTGCGGTGAGCGCCTCGGCAAGATGCTCGGTAGAGCGCAGATGACGACGGAATTTGTCCTACAACGCTCGAAGAGCATCGTGAGTTTTTGGGCGGCGATCGACCACGTCGTCATCGCCCGCCGACTCTTCTCAATGAGAGTGGTGGCGTCCACTACCACGTGGAACGCCTTGTGGATTGACGTCGTCGACGGGGTTTAACCCAGTGCCTTGTGAGTTGGCGGAGATACCCAAACTCCGAGGACTCGTGGGAGTTTGAGGTGCCACTTCAACACGACTGCCCAGACGTCGTGGACGCTTATGATCGTTAAGACCATGACGCTTCACCTCGTCGTGCGCACCGCGCTTCTAGGCAGTAGCTCGGGAAGCCGAAGGGCCATGAGCTGAGCTCAAGCTATGGACCTGAGCTACTGTGGTCGTAGACTCACCCGTGCTAGAAGCCACAGAGCTTGCGGGAGCGTTATAGATTGTTTCATATGTCGCAGGACGACATTACGCAGGAAGTCGGCGTTGCGCCTTGAATTTGGCAAGCTCAAATCTAAGATGGCACTCAACGCGCACGTCCACTACCTTGTGGCTTCGCTGCAAGGCACAACGAAGAAAAGTTCCGGTGCGGCTGCACCATTGCTCAAAGAGCTCATCGTCATCTGCAGCGGTTTCGCCAGGGGCGGGCACCACAGGGATGGTCTGCATTGTGGGAACAGGAGCACCTTCTTTTTGAGCTCGAAGCCGAGCGCTGTACCGATCCATTGGGATCTCTCGTGGTACCAAAAAGAGAGTTTGCAAAGCTTTCTGGTGATTAAGCTCAGCTTGTGTAGTGACCGGGAGCCCAACTAGGTAGACGCCTAACGATCTAGTGATCGTGTCTTTCGCTTCAGTAGTGGGATCCGCCGAGCGGGAGCCGTATTCCACACGAGGGTCTAAGACCGAGCGTGGGAATGAGCGAAGGAGAGCCGACCTGTGAGCAGCCTCCAATTGCTGCTCTTGTGCCTCGTCGATGCGATTGGTAATGATACCACTTTCCTCGGAAGCCCAGAGGTCGGGAAACGACTTGTGCCCCCCCGAAGTGGTGGGTGCTTCATGATATTGACCTGGTTCTAGTATCTCCTGTTTTTCCAAATATTCTGTCACAACTGGTATGACCATGGGAAGCTTGTGACATATTGACCTGGTTCTAGTTTCTCCTGTTTTTCCAAATATTCTGTCACAACTGGTCTGACCATGGGAAGCTTGTGACATCGTTGACGCCGTTTTATGTGTGAGGCATGAAGGGGAGGGAGCAACAGCTCCTCTCGGCTCCGATTTTATAATTTAGAAAGAATAATTATAATCGGCAAAATGTACCGGATCGGTTCAGGTGAATACTCATACTCCGACGTATAGACATGCTACATTTTCTGAATATATATTGATGTGAATAATATAAATGGCTTTGCCTTGACCAGTGCTCTCGACCTAGCTAATTGTGTTATCAAGTGCTAAGAAGGCAATGATTGTCATCTCGCTGTGGTGATTGGTTAAATCGGCATGCTCTGGAAATGGCTGATATATCCCAGCAATAATTTGACACACCAGCGACGTTCAGCCATTTGATGCCTCATGTGTGAAATTTACATTATTTCTATGCACAACATATATCAACAATATACATTCGCGCATAGACGCGCAGGGCACAGGCACGGAAAATAGGAACGTGAACAAGCATGTCAAACACTTATGAGCGGTGCTCAAGTGTATTCGCTTGAATAAAGTGTACGCCGGCATGAACGAGTGTATCTTTGCACCAACATAATCGCCGCTGCAGAATGTTCATTGAATAGCATGACTCGCGAGCAAGTCCAGCAAATATCGATGTCATTGCGAATTGGCCAGTGCTATTATATCAAAGGAACTTTAGGAAGCGACTTAACTTGCCAGTCGCTTGCCCAAGTATAGCACAAATTATGCCGACATGACTCAATCCTAACCAATCTATTCAAGAAGTCCGTCAAATGGTGATATAACACAGCAGATAAAGATGCTTACAATGTTGCAATTCAAAACCATATGAGCCTCCCGATTCTGGTTTCTCTCGAACCCGGATCGACCGCAACATGTTTTCTGTAAGGCTTTAATTTTCGCCACAGGCTGTGCTTTACTTCGAGCAAATGACACGTGCATTTGCGTCTAATTATGCCTCTTTGATGCAGGAAATATGTTCTTAGCTCATAACATAAGTTTGCTCCTGTCAAGCTGTGAGCAAACCTGCGTTGTTTGATCCATTCGTGATCTACACAGATCATGCATCGTTACAAACAGCAACATTGCTCGCAAAAGTGCAAGACAGCTATCACTCTCTGCCGAGTATAACTTCGAGGTAAGCTATAAGCCGGGCTAGATTAGTGTGATTGTGGATGCGCTTCCGCGTCGTCTAGGCTATGTATTGTTGCATATGACGATGGCAACGTCGCCAATTGTTGAAGCAATACGTACAACTTACGGCTTAGAGTGCAACAGTGTTGGAAACTTTGGAAATCAAGGAGTTCAAATCTCATATGTCGCTTTACTGAAGCTTTTGCGTGTGCGTCATGACCACTGATCCATGAATCAACCCGCATGACACTCAATTATGGTGTTGCCTCATGATGCTAACAGAACACTAAACGAGGCACATGATATCCCCTCGCGTAACTACCTCGAAAAAGGAACGGCTTAGGACTTAGTGAGCGCCATGTACCAGTGATCTAAGCGATATACATACGTGAATACTCATGCATCCAATTGCAAAATCAAAGGTTTAACACACGCCGCATGCGTTGGTGCCTTGGCAAGCCTGTTTGTCTCGGTAGAATACGAGCTGTTCTTAGTTTGGGCTCAATTTAGTCGCCCAGAAGATATCCAACTGACAGTCAAGGAACTTGACACCGAGGGCCACAGAAACTTTCGGCACAGTGACCCAAGTTCCCTTTGCTAACCGAGCAGTGACGGTGTCACTTAATCTCGCTTCCAGCGCCTCAGCATACAGCTGACTTCCTTCGATCTTGGAGCGTTGAAATAATTGCCCGACACCCCGGATTCGATTAGGATTTTCAATGGCTTCTCAAAGCCCTTAACGGTCGATTTTACGACCAGCAAGCCCAGCTTGCACTCACGTTCTGACGCAGCTCTTCGGGGCTGGATTCTGCTGCCCTCTACCTCTTTGAGGCTCAACAGAACTCAGTTCTCCCCTAGTAGGGCACCCCGCGCCTACTAAGTAATCTTATTTCCCCACGGCAAACCAGACTGATTAAAAGCGGGACGTCGGTTTGACGAACTTTCACGCACCTTGCGCAGGAGACAGTCAGTCCAAATGTGATAGGGTCTCCACAGACAAAACACCGTCGTGTGCTCAGCAGCTCGGAGTTCTCCCTCCTATCTCTCAACATAGCTGAGATCCATTGGCATAGGCCCGCTCGACGAGCTGCTAGAGTGTTCATTTTAACCAAGTCGTGCCGACATGAAGTTGAATTTGACATTCGATGCCACATTCACCGCTTCATCAAAAGAAGACGAATGCACACGGAAGATTTTCATTCTGGCTACGTCAGTGCGGAAAGCCCTCCATAAAGACGGTAACTGTGACCGCCTCGAGAAAAGGATCTGCTGATATACCGGAGATGAGAGCGCTCAAATCTTGGACAAAGTCCACCAACTCCTTCTTGCCCTGTCGGGCAGCAAGGAAACGCGATCGCACGCGATATGCTTGATTAGGCAACGAGAATACTCGCAAAGGCTGACGCTCTAGTTACGTCAAGGAGAAAAAGCAGCTTTAACCGAAGCGCTGCATGTTAGTGCCAACTTCTGGGCTCGGCCCCCGAGCTTGGTGATAGCTAGCGCCACGCGCTGTTGCTCGCTTTGGAGCATGGCGGAGGCCACAGCCACCTCGGCCAATCTTATTCAGAGCAGGAGATTCTTTCCGTTCTTATCCTCAAAGGATTTAACGCTCACAATGAGCGGCCTGGGTCGGAAGGAATCATCCGTCGTCGATGGTGGATTCATAGACGCTGTCGACGCTGACAGCTTCTGCTGTAAGTGCTCTAACAGAACATTTCCATAGCTTAAAAACGTCTCCAGGTGCGCGCTTATCGCCTCGGGCCTTTGCGCAACGAGTTGCTCCAGAGCCCAGCAGGGATATCAACTTATTAATCCTGTCCTGCATGCCCCGGGCCAAATAGGAGTATTTTTTTTATCCTCACAGATGATCGCTCGTAACGACTCAAGCGTAGATTAACTACGAGTGTTACCAAGAGCAGCGGTGCTGCCGCTGCTGTTTGCTTAGAGAAAGCTAAGCTAAAGTCACCGACCTTACACTCTTTCCAAAACCAGAACGAGTGGAGCGGATCTCAATTCGCTAGTTGCAAAAGAACACTTTTGTTCAGAATCGAAACCGTATTTAATTCTTTTTGTTGCGGGAGAGCCGCCAATATCTAAAAACCCTTAGTTTGAATTAACATAGTAATACCCAATTAATATAGTAATATGCATTACTACTGGCAATCCTGCCGTGTGGTGGCTTCTTGTTACGATGTTGCCTCACCACTCTGTTTACACCTACTTGTGTAA